AGGCTGGCGGTTCAAACCCACCAGCCACTCCTTGGAAGGAAGATGGGGCAATCTACTTCTGTAGTGATACTGCCTTGGAAATCCAAGGAGGGGTCACTATGAGTCAGGTCAGACACAACGGCACATAACAACAACATCCCTCTCTAGGGGACTGTGGTGGTTAAGTTTGTATGTCAAGTTGGCTAGGCCTGGTTGAGTGGCTGGCTGGGCAGCTGGATGTAGTATTCCCCAAGGTAATCAACTCCATGGTGGATTCTACTGGTCGCAGCTGAGTAGCTGCCTTTGGGTATGTGGTCTGCTTCCCGTATAAAAGAAACAGCATTGGGAATGGTCTCTAGCTTATGGCACGCTTGGACCCTGCATGTAGCCATGTCATTGTTCAGCAGCCTGCCACGCTCTGATAACCTTCAGACTTTCGATGGACTTGAATTAATGGCCTGCTGTGTGGTTTGATAACATCGGGACTGTGCCATTTTATCTGTCAACCTTGGGCTTGTCAGCTTCAGCAGCCAGTAGTTGTCTGAGTGAAGAGATGCCTCTAGCTCCAGTGGGCCAGGAGCAAGAGGTAGAGCTGAAGCCCAAGGTCGAGGGGCTTTCACACAGCCCCTAGAGCCTGGCACTTTGAACTCAGACTTCTAGCCTCCCAAACTGTAAGAGAATAAACTTTGTTTGTTAAGGCCATCCCATTTGAGGTATATTCTTGTCAGAGCAGCACTAGATAACCAGAACAGGGATGATCCCTCCCAACACCATGACCAAAGTAAGTGAAGCATAGTATGGGCATTCTCACTTCCAAGCAGCACTCCAGTTGCACTTCTTCCAAGACAGGTTTGTTCGTTCTTCTGGAAGTCCATGGTACTTTCAGCATTCTTCACCAATACCACAACTAAAAAGCATCAACTCTTCCTCAGTCTTCCTTATTCATTGTCCAGCTTTTACATATATATGAGGTGACTGAAAAATACCATGGCTTGGGTTAGGGGCACTTTAATCTCCAAAGAGACATCTTTGCTCTTCAGCATTTTAAAGGTTTTTTTTTGCAGCAGATTTGCCCAGTGCAATACGTTGTCTGATTTCTTGACTGTTGCTTCTATTGCTGTTGATTATGGATCCAAGTAATATGAAACTGGCCCAACTGTGAGGATTTGTTTTCTTGATGCTGAAGTATAATCCATACTGCAGACTGTACTCTTTAACTGTCATCAGTAAGTTCTTCAGGTCATCCTCACTTTCAGCAAGCAAGGCTGTGTCATCTGCATATCGCAGGTTGTTAATGAGTCTTCCTACAAACCTGATGCTGCATTCTTCATACAGTCCAGCTTCTTGGATGATTTGTTCAGCATACGGATTGAATAAGTATGTTGAAAGGATATAACCCTGATGCACACCTTTCCCAATTTTAAACCATGCAGTATCCCCTTGTTCTGTTCAAACAATAGCCTCTTGGTCTATGCACAGGTTCCTCACGAGTACAATTAAGTGTTCTGGAATTCCCATTCTTCTCAAAGGTATCCATAATTTCTAATGATCCACACAGTCAGATCCTTTTACACAGTCGATAAAACACAAGTAAACATCTTTCTGGTATTCTCTGCTTTCAGTCAGATCCATCTGACATCAGCAATGATATCCCTCATCCCATGCCATCTTCTGAATCCAGCTTGCATTTCTGGAAGTTCTCTCAATACTGCTGCAACCATTTTTTAATTATCTTAAGCAAAATTTTATTTGTGTGTGACATGAATAATACTGTTTGATAATTTCCACTGTTGGATCACCTTTCCTTGGAATGGGTATAAATATGGATCTCTTCCAGTCATTTGACCAGGAGATGTTTTCCAAATTTCTTGGCACAGAGGAGTAAGTTCCTCCAGAACAGCATCTGTT